GCACCAATCCCATTGCGTCCAATCCACGTCCATCTGCTTCCCATATCCACCCGAGCGCGCATTGGGCTTGTCATTCATCGAATGAGTGTGCGTCGCAGTTCGTAAAGCATCGCAATCGTGATCAAGATCTCGATCGTAATGTGCGTCGCAGGCGGGATCGCAATAGTGATCAAGATCTCGGTCGTAACGAGCGTCGCAGTCGTAAAGAGCGTCGCAATCGTGATCAAGACCTCGGTCGTAATGTGCGTTGCAGTCGTCATGAGCATCGCAATCTTGATCAACATCTCGGTCGTAATGTGCTTCGCGGTTCGTAAAGCGTCGCAATCGTGATCAAGATCTCGGTCGTAATGTGCGTCGCAGTCGTAAAGGGTATCGCAATCGTGATCAAGATCTCGGTCGTAATGTGCGTCACAGTCGTAAAGAGCGTCGCAATCGTGATCTGTCGCTTAGGTCGGTGAAATCGGTGGTTAGCTGTCAGGGGCGTTGTGTGATTGTGCTTGTCGAGAGTCGACTCCCGCTCGACACGCTACGTTCGCGACTGACCGGCAACGCTAGCATCGTTAGCATCGTTACAGGAGGTCCATGCTCTTTATCGCATTTGGTCTGTCGCTACATGTAGATGGGCTGTGCTGAATTTGCAACGAGTTGTCACATGTGTGCAGTCGACGAACGCCGAAGCGAGCGCTGAGAGCTTTCTCGGCTTCTCGGCGTCGCGCAGCTACACAACGATGGTCGCGAGCTACATCTCGATGGTACACTGCTCGATCTGCATGGGCTACGGACTGGACCGTTGAGCGTCGCCGCTTGCGACCACATGAACCGCTGGCTTGCCCTTTCTCTTGTTTGGCTGGGCATTTGGCCAGACGCTAAAGTCTTTGCTGGTGGGCAGCGTAGAATACTTATCCAGGATGGCGTGCTGTGTAAAGGCAACCAGCGACATGCGCGTACCAACCAGATTGTTGGCATTGCGATGCGTGTTGAGCGCCGATGGAAAGACGGTAATGTCCATCGGCCGTGAGTGGATCGCAATACCTACATCATCCAGACACAGCTCAGCGCCCGTGAAGTCGCCAAGAGCAGCAACAACACAGAGTCCCCACTGCGTATCCCGCTTGTCACGATGCGCCGTCATGCCGGTAAAGGGCGTCGGCATGTTGATGGCTGCAGAGCACCATGGCGCCATCATAGCAGCTCGACGTCGTTCCATATTGCGAGTCACTTCACCAGACATGTAGGCTCGAAGTGCACGTCGGGGAAGGACATTGATGAGCTCCCTGTGCAGACGCACATCGTTGTACTTCTTGTACACATCCGAGAATCCAAAAGCCATCGTCTTGCGCATCCGATTAAGCAAGTGGGTGCAAGCTTTGCCGTACACGAATGGCACGATCTCATCGCGGTAGTCTTTGATCTCGGCGTTGAAGTTGGTGTCGGCAAGCGTAGCTCTGCTCGTGCCGGCGGCTCGAAGGTGTGCGTGAAGAGCACCAAAGACGGTCCCGTTGCAACTACGACTGGGCTCGATGGGGAAGGCCGGCAGGGAGAGAGCTTGCGACCAAAGGAGCAGCTTCGTGGTGATAGCACCGAAAGTCTGCGTTGCTGCTATTGCTTCAGCATTGGCGTGGCAACGCCGCTTCTGGGCAAGAGCAAGATGTCGAGCATGCCCCTCGTGATGATAGATGTGCTCTTTCATGTGCTGCGCTTCAGCTTCTGCCTCCCGGACGTCCGCTTCGGCTTTCAAAGCCATATTGAGAATGATTTGCATGGATGCAGCCACGTCATCGGGGGATGGTCTCCAGAGCCTGCCGTTTTCAGCTTGGGCACCGCTTGTGGTGCCTGTGTTGGGCCTGTCAGGCTGAGCTCTGTCTGCCGAGCGGGCAATCTTTGGCAGGCTCCAACGCTGCACCGTAAAGAGCTTTTTGTTGCAATCGAGAATGAGATCCCATTCGATGTTGTTGCCGGCCGACAAGTGCCACGTTGGATCCCTTCGTGGGTTGTTAAACTCGTCTTTTGGCAATGGATTCAGTGGAGGCGTTGCTCGAGCACGTGCACGGTTGATTCGCTCATAGAGTGACGGACGTGGCAAGCCTGAATGTTTTTCAGCCTCCTCGTCGATATCGTACTCCAAGCAGATGGTCATTCGAACGACAACGTTGTCAAGAACTCCTTGATATGCCCGGAAGAGCAGTCTGGCCGGGTGTGGAATGTCGACGATGGTCCAGTGCTCGTGGCTGGCCAAGAATCTTTGAGCCAGCTGCCTTCCTTGAGTCATGAGCAATTCGTGCGTGAGGTCTTCTCTGCACCGCGGTGGCAAGATGTTCAGATCAGTCACACGGCCAGCAAGTGCAAGCTGAGACGACGTAAATTTGGCCTCTTTGAAAGAGTCGTGCGTCCCGCAGTTGCGTGTAGTCAGGCGGTCCTGAGTCTTTTGCTGTTTGCGAGGTGGGGGCACAGACGCAGCAAGGGGCTCCGATGAGGACGACGGTGCAGGCGCTCGGAGCGACGATGGTGCAGGCGCTCGGAGTGACGACGGTGTAGGTGCTTGAAGTGACGACGACGACGACAATGCAAGCGCGGGTGTCGATGATGACGAGGTGTGAAATGACGACGACGACGACAATGCAAGCGCGGGTGTCGATGATGACGAGGTGTGAAATGACGACGACGATGGTACGGTGGCCGAGGCAGAGCTGATAAGGGGTGCGGTCGACGCAGCAGTTGCAAGAACGGGCATCATCGCTCGGAGTGACGA